CTCTTGTTCAGGTCCATGAGTGGGACTTTGTGGTAGATAATTTGAGTTAACTGGCCCATAGAAAAGAGTTTTTAGGAAAAATGATGTGATGAATGTGGTCAAAGGGCACTGAGAATGCATCACAATTGTAATCTCTCGGACTTAATTTGTGACATTGACTATTTAAGTGACCGAGCATAACCTTAATTGGCAAGATCCAACAATGGAGTTGCAAGAAAGAGGAATGTGGATTTGAGTGCAACAACATGCCAAAGAGATTTCAAGATGAAATAGAGCAGTGATTTGGGGATGGAAGGATGAAAGACTTCTATTGAATGACCGTTTTGAAAATGAGATTTACTGTACCCAAGAAGTCCAATGATGTTAGGAAGCATCCATTTTTTGCTTCACTAAATTGGTACTCTGAGACTAGAGTCAAGGGAGCAAAAAGTACGTCTTACAAACCAAATACACTTTGAGAGGGCACATGGGAGGAGGTCTTTGGACTTGGGCCTGAATTAGACGGGACTGGCTGGGTGGACAGAGAAGGATATAGCTGAATAGCTGGCCTGAATTGTTTTTGTATAGATATACTGCACAAGTAGAACATTTAGCTCAACAAGTCCATACTGGTGTTTATTGTGAAGTTAAATCTTGGCCCATCTTTTCTCATTTAAATTTCCATCTGTTTCCTCCTCCCTCATTTGCTTGTCAAGTTTTCAATTAAATAGATCTTTCTGATTTTGCTTCAGTTGCTGATGTAGTAAATGCTACATTGTTACCACTGAATTTTTTTTTTCCTCTATAATCCCCATTGGATTTCTTATTATCCATCTTGGCCTCTATATATTTTTGGAAGATTTGCTAGACTAATACCTGGATGTTGCCTTATGAGGAAAGGCTAGACAGACTAGACGTGCATTCTCTAGAGTTTAGAAGATTCAGAGGTGACGTAACTGAGATATACAAGAGGGGACTTGTCTGGATGAAATTTTGAAAGGATGTTCCCTCATGTGGGAGAATCTAGAACTAGAGCCGTGGTTTAAAAAAGAGGTTGTCCATTTTGGCCTGAGATGAGCAGGTTTTTTTCCCTGGGAGCTGAGAGTCTTCGGAATTCCCTTCCTTAAAAGGCAGTGAATATGTAATCTTGAAAATATTTAAAGGCACAGGTAGATTCTTGGTTACCAGGAAGACACAATATTATCGGGGGTGAAAGTGTGATTTTAACCCGTTATTTTTTCTTAAACCATATGAGACCCAGGTTTGTTTTTATTGTTAAAAGATTTATTCATGCACGCATGGGCGATGCACTTAATCAAAAATAGCATACAGCTCAAATCTTTATCACCACAACAAAAGTCTTATACTATTTTTACAGATACCAAGCTTCCAATCAACTATTCCAACAGGTAATAATTTCCAATCAAAGGTTAAATATTTACTCACCCCCATCTCCACCCAATCGTATTCACGTATTTCATATTCTAAGTATGCTTGACTATATCATACAATCAGATTCAGTCTGATATATATGACTATCTTACCCAATCACAGTCAAACTTATACATGTGATTATATTATCCAATCATATCATTGCATGCTTGCATCTCAGACTGTTAATATGCACTTTCTGATTTGTAGAAAACCAATGTTGTTTATTTCTCCCCCCACCCCCACCAGCCCCATAAGTCTCTCCAGTTGCCCATACAGTCTATTTTTCCTTTCGGGGATGTACAGGAATATAGAATTGAGATTAAAATTAGATGAACCATGATCTCATTGTTTGGCAGAGTATGCTCAAAGTGCCAAGGAGCTTATTCTTTTACCTTGTTTACAAATGCTCTTCCCCACGAGGGGAAATGTTATTCCTTTATCCATTCTATCAAAAATCTTTCATAATTTGGAAGACCTTTATTAGATCACCAATCACCCTTTTTTTCCCCTCCCCAGTGAAACAATGCACAACCTGTTGAATCTTTCCTAACTGCATTTCTCCTGCTTTTTTTTTGTGGCATGAATGTCATACAACATAGAACAGACCCTTCAGTCCAACTAGTCCATGCTGACTATGTTTCCAAACTAAACTAGTCCCACTTACCAGCATTTGGCCCATAACCCTCTAAATCTTTTGCCATTCATGTACTTATCTAAATGTCTTTTAAATGTTGTAACTGTACCTGCATCATCACTTCCTCTGGCAGTTCATTCCACACATGAACCACTTTTTTTTTTAGAAGAAAGAGTTTGCTCCTTGGGTCCTTTTTTAAATATTTCTCCTCTCACCTGAAAAATGTGCCCCCAGCTTTGAACTCTCCAACCCGAGAGAAAGGACCCTTGTTATTCACCTTATCTATGCTTATTCATGATTTTATGAAACCTCTGTAATGTCACCCTTCAACTTCCTATGCTTCAGTAAAAAAGGTCCCAGCCCACTTTTATAATTCAAACATTCCTGTCCCAGCAACTTCCTGGTAAACTTTTTTCTGAACCCCCTCCAATTTAATAATACCCTTCCTATAAGAGGGTGACCTGAAATGTACACTGTACTCTAGAAGAGGCTTCATCATGCCTTGTAAACCTTAGAAAATGCTTGAGTTTGTTATTAAGAACTAAGACATTTAGAAAAGCTTAATGTAATCAAACATGGTTTTGTGAAAGAGAAATCAAGTATAAAAAGCTTGCTAGAATTGTTTGAGGATATAACTAGCAGAAGTGATAATGGGGCAGCAGTAGATGTAGTGTATTTGTAGGTATTTAGTAAGGTGCCACATTATTAGCATGGATTGCGGATTGGTTTGACACACAGACGGAGTTGAGATTAAGTCTTTTGCAGATTGGAAGTTTGCAACAATTGCCACAAGGATCAGTCCTATGGCCTCTACTATTTACTTTCTATATTAATGACTAGGAAGGATGTAATGTATCCAAATTTATTAATGACACCAAAATAGCTAGAATGGCATATTGTGATGAGGATGTAAGGAATCTGCAAGGGGATGTGGATAAGAAGTGAGTGGGGAGATAATTGGCAGAGAATTAAGAGCAAGTAATCAACAAGGCTGTCTGTGTGGAACTGTAGGAAATGGATGAAATAATAAATGAGTATTTTATGTCGGTATTTACTGTGGAGAAGGATATGGAAGCTAGAGAACTTGGAGAAATAAATAATGATATCTTAAAATGACCATATTATAGAGGCCCAATCAGGTGTATCCCAGAACTTCGTGGGAAGCTAGGGAAGAGTTTTAGGGGCCCCTGGCTGAGATATTTGTATCATTGATAGTCACAGGTGCCAGAACGCTGGTGGGTGGCTAATGTGATGCCATCATTTAAGAAAAGTGGTAAGGAAAAGCGAGGGAACTATAGACTGATGAACCTGACAACAGTGGTGGATAAATTGTTGGAGAGGATTCTGAGGGACAGGATTTACACGTATTTGGAAAGGCAAGAGCTGATTAGGGATAGTCAACATGGCTCTATGCGTGGGAAATTGTTTGTCACTAACTTGAATTTTTTTTCTGAAGACTGATGAAGGCGGAACGGTGAATGTTGTCTATACGGCCTTTAGTAAGGTGTTTTACAAGGTACTGCATGGTAGACTGGTTAGCAAGGTTAAATGACATGGAATCTAGGGACATCTAGCCATTTGGATACAGGACTGGCTCGAAGGTAGGAGACAGGATTGTTTTGCAGACGGGGAGGCCTGTGACCAGCGGGGTGTCACAAGGATTGATGCTGGGTCCACTGCTAATTGTCATTTATAAAAAAGATTTGGATGTGAATATTGGAGGAATGGTTGGTAACTTTGCAGATGTCACCAAAATTAGTGGTGTAGTGGACAGTTAAGAAGATTACCTCAGAGTACAATGGGATCTTGATCAGATAGACTGATGGACCAAGGAGTGACAGATGGAGTCTAATTTGGATAAGTGTGAGGTGCTGCAGTTTGGAAAAGCAAATCAGGGCAGGACATGTACACTTAATGGTACGGTCCTGGGGAATGTTGCCAAATAGAGACCTTGGGTGCAGGTTCATTATTCCTTGAAGGTAGAGTCACAGGTAGATAGCGTAGCGAAGAAGGCATTTTGTACACTTGCCTTTATTGGTCAGTGCACTGAGTGTAAGAGTTAGGATGTCATGTTGTGGTTCCATAGGACTTTGGTGAGGCCACTTTTGGAATACTGCATTCAGTTCTGGTCTCCCTGTTAGAGGGAAGATGTTGTTAAACTTGAAAGTGTGCAGGAAGGATTTACAAAGATGTTGCCAAGGCTGAATAGGTGGAGCTATTTTCCGTGGAGCATTGGAGACTGAGGGGTGACCTTATTGAGGTTTATAAAATCATGAGGGACATGGATAGGATGAATAGCCAAGGCCTTTTTTCCCAAGGTAGGGGAGTCCAAAATTAGAAGGCATTAGTTTAAGTTGAGAGGGGAAAGATTTAAAAGATCCTATGGGGGGAAACTTTTACATGCAGCGGGTGGTGTGTGTATGGAATGAGCTGCCAAAGGAAGTGGTGGCAGTGGGTTCAATTACAGAATTTAAAAGGCATCAGGATGGGTACATGAATAGGAAGGGTTTAGAGGAATATGGGCCAAATGCTGGCAAATGGGACTAGATTAATTTAGGATCGCTGATCAGCATGGCAGAGTTGAATCAAAGGGGCAGTTTCTGTGCTGTACAACTCTACGACTCTTGACTCTATCTTTGACTAACCTATCACTGTTACAGTGGTTAGTGCTTGTCTAATTGATTCCTTATTCATCTGAGCATCCTTTTTCTGTTCATTTTCACATTTTTGAAATTAAGACTCAATACACTCCATTTCTTCTTCTCTGAATTCAAAATCGTTGAACCCTCCATATTTCTTGTCTCAAAATATTTAGATTCTTATTAGCATAATTTCATTTTCATTTCCAGCATAAATTACATAGCTGTTTTTCAGTTGCAAAAAGCAAGTTGCAAAGTTTTAACTATTTGTAGATGAGATGCAGCATAATGTTTTCTCTTTCAAATGCCCACAGGTTTATAAAACCTCCACAAACGTATGCAAAATCATCGAGAAACACACCAGAAGAAAACGATGAAACAGACAGTGAGAGCTCTCTATTGACATCAGAGATCAAATCCTTTGACTTTGCAGCTGGTCCGGTACCAAAGAATAGCTGCTCCAGCGATGGAGGATTCTCAAATTATTCTGGACAATTCTCTCAGCTCCCATCACATTCTGTGAAGAATGTTAACAGTTATGCTGTTGCTGCTGCTGCATTCCAGCATAGGAATAACCCTTACAGTTCCCCTGCAGGACACACTGAAAGTTGGCATGTTCCCTCTGTTTCCAGTTGTGGAGATGGTTATACCTACAAATCTGACAACTGGTTGTCAAATACTGGCATGACCGACTTATCGCCAAGTAGGAGCTTTGGACCACCCTCACCAGTGTCATTGCAAAGCAGCCTTGGACTATCGCAACTTGAACCTGGGTTTCCTTTGCAGTCTTTTCCACTCCAACCACCTGTTCACTTTGTGCCTCAAAACCCTTGTCGACCTAAGGTTTCCATATACGTTCCTGAACCTGGCCATTTTCCTCCTACACCTCTGGGCAGAGTCGACCTCACCTCTTGTGGAACACCAGGTTAACTATGCTTTTTTCATCCTCCTTCAGTATGTTGACATTGAGGGATTAGAGTTGCATTCACTATGAAGTATGTTTTAGCATTAAATAGAAATGAGTTTATCTTTGTAACTGCTAAACAAGCTGAGTAGAAATGATTTGGAGAATTTGGTGTCACATTCCCATCCACCGCAAATAGTTGAAGTATTTGTATAGTTAAAAAGGTTCCTCAACCATACAAAGCATTTAACCCTCACTATTTATTTAGCAGCTTTCGTACCCTCAGCATGTGTGAGAGTTTTTCACAACTAATTGGGTATTTCCAAAGTGTAGTTATTCTTTGTAGTGGTCATTTATGTTGTCATTCAGACTACAGGGAGAACTTCCCTACCACTACAGTTTATGAACATATCTGATGACATGGCCTTGATTTAATTTTAATGTCACATCTCAACATGATATTCCTCGATTCCACCACTGAAGCATGAGCGAATCTTGAACTAGTAACCCAAGATTCCAAGGCAAGTGTGCCACTACTGATCCAAATCATTCACCACAGGTCTTTCTGTGCATCTATGTTCTTGTCCCTTTCCATTGAATTCCTAAACTCATTCCTTGCTTTCCCTCACCTTGCATTTATTTAGAGCAAATCATATCTGTTTACCTATCATTCCTGCCTTTCTAAAGCTGGTTAGTCTACCTCACTGTTTGCATCTTCTCTGATGTTAACATTTCATCACTATGTTCTCTGAATGAAGTGACAAATCACATGAGAATAGAAGTGATCCCATCACTGAAATGTAAGTCACAACACTTCTAACCCAACAGTACTCAATTAATCTGTTTCCTGTTTGTCAATGAACGTTCCATCTGTTCTTCTACAATTTTGCTTCTGCCAAACACCTCTGCTATCTAGCATACCTTTAATAAGCTTCTTTATCAAGTGTCCACATATATCAATGACTATATTACCTTTCTGCTAAATTGGTTTTTGGGAGTCTGGTCAGATCGAACTTGCCTTAACAAATCCGTGCCCGCCCTTATCAAGTGTTTAAAGCCCAGAAACAGGCCTTTTAACCCGAAAGGTCCATGCTAATCTTTATGTTCCACTGCTCCTCTTATTTCATCACCTGATCTTTCCATTCCTTCTTCCTTCTTGTTTATCTAGCTTCCCCTTAAATACAGTTATGCTAATCATCTCACGATACCTTGTAAATCGCTTGCAAATATCTGATTTGCCTTTCTCCTCTGAGCAGTTACTTATTGTCTAATGAATAAATGTATTTGGGATGAACGGCTTTTGATATTTTAACATGTTATCTGTGCATGATGTTTTCTATCGGTGGCTTACTGATTTGTGCATTGAAGCCTTGGAGAGGACATATAACGTTTAAATGCATTTCCTATTCATCAGCTTCTCTCAAGCTGTTGATCTGTATATCAGAATGATGATGCAAAGGAAATCTTCAAGGTTACAAAGTTCAAGGAGCACAAACAAGTAGATAAAAACCACAAGCCTAAGTATGTCAGCGTGCAAAGTCTCTAAGGATCAGGTGCTTAGCCTGTTACTTGCTCATGCAAAACTTGATTTGCCATAGTTTTCCCACCTACCTGATTTGACTAAATTGATACAGAAGTAGGCCGCCCCTCAAGCGAATTCCACCTTTCAATTAGAGTTTAATGACTAATCTCTGTCTGAATTCCCTCTATCCACTTTTTGTTCCAAAATCTTAACGCCCTCGTCTAACAGAAATGTATTCCTCTCAGTTTTTAAAATTCCAGTTTACTGAGCCTTAGCACTTGTTCTTGGGGTAGGGTGGGGAGAGAAGAGAGTTCCAGATTTCAATAAACTGTCTTGTGAGAAGTTGCCTTTGTACTATCTAATGTTTCCTACTTCTCCCACCATAAGAAATTATTTCTGTATCCACCCTGTCAGTTATAACATCTGTTAATCTTGAATAGCCAAGGGACTACAAGCCAAAACTTTGCAGACAGTCCTCAATTTAACTCTTTCAGCTCTGGTTTTACTCTGGTAAATCTGTGGTGAACACTCAATTCTTCCTCTGAGGTACTCTGAACTGAATGTAGTAGGACCAAATGGGGTCCAGCAGTGTTCTTCTATAGCTGGAACATAACTTCCATCCCTTTGACCTTCATCCTGAGCCAGATATGTTTTGTACCTGTATCATTTGCAACTTCTGTTCCCATTTACACTAATTATTATCTCCAGTAATTAAGTATTAACTACGACTCTTTGTTCTTTGATACAAGTAAATGAAAATATGTTAAAAGTCAAGACCCCAAAGCAGATTCCTGGGGATCACCACTTGTATCTACGCCAGTTCAATGTGATGTGTGCTACCCCTTCTCTTCACTCTTCCTTCCATCTCAAACAGTCAGAAAGCTGAGACAAAAGGCTACTTCCATTTCTGTATAATATTTTCTCTAATAATTTGCTGTTCAAGAAGTTTTTTAAGTCTTTATCATGAAATGTCTATACATGTTTTTTTTTGAGGCAAATAGATAACAATCTTGGTAAGTCTGGACTTGCATTTAACAAGCTGTTGCTTTTGAATAATATCTCATTTGTTTAAGTACTCAATCACCTCGAACAAAAATGCACAACTGATTTTAAATTGACAGTCCTGAAAGAAACCCAGTTTCTCTCTCTGCCTTTATAAATAATGCAGTGATATTGGTATTTTTCCAGTCTAATGGCATCATTCCTAAATGAAGAGTTCTTTGACTGACAGGTTTTGATAATTTCCTTGTTAATGCTTACCCTTTTTTTTCCAGAATATACAAAATTCCTGGTGTAATTTTGCTTCTGTCACGGGTAAATTATTCACCTTGTGACTCTGAGTCTTGTATCAGTATCTGTAGTAGTACAGCACAGAAAGATGCTGTTCATCCCATCTGGTCTGTGCCAACTCTTTCCAAGAGAAATCTGGTTGGTCCACACTCAACTCCTCCTCCTTTCAGCATCTATCTGCAATTTTCTTCCTTCAAGTATAGATCTCATTTGCTTCCTGACAGCTGTTGAATCTTTGCTCACCACCGTACTGAATAGTATCATTCATTGCATAAAATACATTTGTTATCTGTCACCTCTGATTTTAGTTTGCCAGTCTTAAACCTGTAAGCTCAAGTTACCACCCCTCAGCCATTTGCACCAGATTCTCTTAGTTACTTTATCTTAACACTTCCTTCCTGATTTTAAATATCATTATGAAATCCCCTCTTGGCTAACTTTTCAAAAAGTAAACAACACAGTTTCTTCAGTCTATCTGCATACTAATCCCTAATTGCCAGGGTATCTTCATTTTTTATTCTGCTTCCTCTTAATAAATAAGTCACTAACTGCATTTGCTTTCAAAGGCTCATAACACACTTTGCTATTTTGTCATTATATTTATAAAAAGCTTTCACTCTTCAATCCTTGATAAATCAACCCAGTAAAAATCAGACCACATAGCAAAATATCCAAGTGATTATTTCTTGAATATGACATGCCTGCAACTATTTCTCTCTCCATAAATTATCTCTTATACTTTTTTAACCTGAGCTGCGGCATCTTTTCACTGCTGCTATTAATTTGTACAGACTTTATTAAAAGTAGAAGGTTACATCACGGCATTAGTGAGAGTGAAGTAGTTAAAGGAAGTTATTTGGCCATTGTTGGCATGTTCTACATTTATAATCTGGTAAAGATATCTGTGTCATCATTTTTGAATAATGCCTGAGAGATGCCATTCGCTAAATGCTCTTGTACCCATCAGGGTAAACATAAAGGTTGTCAAATTTCAAATGATCATAATTTATGCTGAGTCCACTCATAACAAAATAAAAATGTAAGGCAATCACTCAAGCTCAATTCTAATTTACACTTTTTGGAAGAAACATACGTTCATTGGCAAAGGACCCATTCTCTGCAAAAAGAATCTGGTTTGAATCACCAAGAAGCATTGTTCCCTTTTGCGTTTTCTCCGTTTATTAGCTAATCAAAATAAATTCGCCAACAAATTCAATGTCCCTTTTCTCCTGTAGAATAAATTGTTCTGATCTTTGAAATTTGGCATTCTTGTGTTTGCCTCGGAGTGCAAGATGAAAAGCTTTGGCAACATATTTTGTGTTCAGCATTATTCAAGCTTTATACTACAAAGTGACCTGCAGATATTATCATCAGATAAGTAGTCCCATTGCAATACTGCCAATCCATATTTTACTCGTGCTAATTACTGGTATACTTTCACTTAACTATTATGGAATTAAATTTAGAAAGGATCGTGACTTAATTTAAACCATTTGACATGATGTGCTTTTGAAGACAATGGAAGATTAGATTTTAGGACATATTTGAGGGAGTGGTCTTTTTGACCATAACTTACCACCAATTCCCAATGCAGTAGATAAAATATCCCATATGAATTAGCTTAATTTCCTTCCATTTCTCTGCTCTGGTTTCAAAGTTTGTCAACTGCTGTAGCAGTCCTATGAAGATGAAATTGATCAGTCTGTAACTTAGCACCCTGTATAATACAGCCTCTAATTAACAACAAGTTTAGTCTTAAAGGCAGTTGTCCTTAAGTTAGGGTAAAACTATATGGATCAATTACAATGAAAGACTACAATCTAACTCTGTACTTGAATGATACGTGAAATGTTCACATATACTCTACACGGGCATTTCAATCAATGACTGTGGTATGGCCCCAAGATAAATTTGCCATCCTTGCATTTGCCCTGCTAAGTACAGGACAAAATCTTCGAAAATTGCCTCTTTTAAGCATTCATCAAATGATGATGCAGGTATCTATCTAACTTCCAGCTTGTAAATGTAGAAGATACTTGTAATGATTAAATTACTTCCAATGATTTTCAATTACTTCATGTACTTTTTTGTTTTTAACATAAAATACAAGTGGCGATGCAAAGATGTACCAGCTCAGGGCAAAAAAAATATCATTTTTAAGAGAGTAATTTTAGTTTTATATCAAAGCTGTTGTCGCATTGTCACACTGAGGATGATAAGGCAGAATGCAAAATGCAAAATGTCTAAAAATTTAGATGGTAAGGGTGGCAATGTCAGTTATTATTAGGACTGTGGATTTGCATTTAAGCAGTGGGAATAGAAACAAAGCTACCTTAATCTTACGACCTGAGTCATACAGTAGATGGCTTATTACAATTGTGTTGAAATCCACTGTAATTTGCTTTGTATAACCTCTAATATTTGAATTTAATTACAGGTTTCAGTCCCCCAAATGGTCCTGGAAATGTTTCATGTCAAAGGTAGACATTTTGAAGTATTTTCCTCACTTCTTGATTCTCTGTAATGGAAAAAGCCATTGATATCTTGAAATTTGATGTGGTGGCAACGTAACTATTTAGGTCAGACTTTTTGTGACCTTTGGAAAGATTGGTTTATTAGTGGCTGAAGTTTTATATTAATGTACTATGTACAGGAAGTAGATGTAATCAGTGAGAATCATGGGGCATGTGGGTTTTACTTTATTTATTCTTTCTTTGAGTATGGGTGTCTCTGATTAGGCCAGCATTAATTGCTTATCCCTAATTGCCCTGGAGAAGGTGATTCTGAGCTTCCATCACGCACTGCTGTGGGAACACCAATGTGCTGCCAGGAAGGGAGTTTAAGGATTTTAACACAGCGTCAGTGAAGAAATGAAGGTTTAATTTCAAATCAGGATGGTGTGTGACTTAGAGCAAAACCTGGAGGTGGTGGTGTTCTCATGCATCTACTTCTCTGGTCCTGCTAGCTGGTTGGGGTTATAGATTTGAAGGGTGACAGTCAAGCGGGCTGCTTTGTCTTGGACAGCATTGAACTTTTTGAATTTGGTTGGAGCTGCATTCATCCAGCAAGTGGGCCCGTCATGCTTTTGACTACTGCCTTGTGGACAGGATTTTCTGGCCAGTAGTTATCCCCCAGGGTGTTGTTAGTGGGGGATTCAATGATGTTAATGCCAGTGTACGTCAAGGGGTGATAGTTGAATTCTGCATTGTTGGAGATGGTCATTGCCGACTTGGCACTCCAAACCTGCATATTGTTCAGATCTTGCTCCAAACAGACGTGGATTGCTTCGGGAGCTGGAGAATTGAGATTGGAGATGAACATCATGCTATTATCAGCAAACATTCATACTTCTTATGTTATGATGGCATGATGGTCATTAATGAAACAACTGAAGATAATTGGGTCTAGAACACTATCCTGAAGAACTCATATAGTGATGTCCTGGGACTGAGCTGATTGACCTCCAACAGCCATAGCTTGGTATGACTCTAACCAATTGTCAGGATGTCGTGACATTCTGTGCCTTCAACTTTTTCTTGATATCACATGGAGTGAATTGCTTTGGCTGAAGATTACCCCTTACGATGCTTGGACTCTTGGAAGTCAAAATGGATTATCTGCTTGGTTCCTCTAACTGAAGATGGTTGCAAATGTTTCAGCATTTTTTGTTTTTGCACTGATTTCCAACATGTGGTCAACTCATAACTGAGGATCATGGTGTTTTATGGAGCTGTTTCTTCAGTTTATTTATCGAATTGCCTGCCATCATCACTCATGACTGGATGTTGGCAGTACAGCAGAGCTTGGATTTGATTTGTTGGTTGTGAGATTGCTTAGTGCTCCCTATTGCACGCTTTGTTTGTGTTTGGTACACAAATATGTGTTAGGTGCACCAGGTTGGCACCATTTAAGTGTGCCTGGTGTTGCTCCTGGCATGCCATCCTGAACTTTTCACTGAACATAGGTTGATGCCCTGGCTTGATGGTAGTGATAGAGTGGAGGATATGCCAGACCATGAAGTTACCCATGACAGCATTGTGTGGTGCTCAGTCCACGTGGTGGTTAGATGACATCTTCACATTGAGGATACCCTCCATTGTGTTGTGCTGCACCACCACCATGCTATATGGTATAAATTTTGAACAAATATAGTAACTCAAAACGGGCATCTGTGAGGTACTGTGAGCCAAAAATAGAATTGCATTCAACCATAATATGTGACAATGCATCTGCAATGGGTAGTTTGTTGAAGGAAGTTCGATAGGTTTTCCCTCCCAGTTCTTTCATGACGTACTGCAGACTCTCTCCAGCAGCTATATCTTGAATCGTCATCAACTGCTGAAGCTCAATAAATCTGAGTCGGAAATTACTCTGCAGGTGAAATGGAGTGCAGCAGAACTAAGCAGCAGCTTTAGTTTATTAAAGTTAAGCATTTGGACAGCAAAAAGATCTGGTTAATTCACGTTTTGCATTGTGAATATTTCATTCATTACAGCGCTGTTTGATGTTTTTGTTCAAAATTTTGTTTTTTGGAAACAGAATCTTCCTTTTGTTTCTGAGATAGTAGGAACTGCAGATGCTGGAGAATCCGAGACAACAAGGTGCAGGGCTGGATGAACACAGCAGGCCAAGCAGCATCGTGGAACAATCCCTCTTCCGTACCTACACCGGCCCTAAACCCCACCTCTTCCTCCGTTACATTGATGACTGTATCGGCGCCGCCTCGTGCTCCCATGAGGAGCTCGAACAGTTCATACACTTCACTAACACCTTCCACCCCAACCTTAAGTTTACCTGGACCATCTCTAACACCTCTCTCCCCTTCCTGGACCTCTCTGTCTCCATATCGGGCAACCACCTAGAAACCGATATTCATTTCAAGCCCACCGACTCCCACAGCTACCTAGAATACTCCTCCTCCCACCCACCTTCCTGCAAAAATGCTATCCCCTATTCCCAATTCCTTCGCCTCCGCCGCATCTGCTCCCAGGATGAGGCATTCCACTCCCGTACATCTCAGTTGTCCTCGTTTTTCAAGGACCGTAACTTCCCCTCCTCGGTGGTCGAGAACGCCCTCAACCGTGTCTCCCACATCTCCCGCACCTCATCCCTCACACCCCGTCCACGCAATAAAAACCAAAAAAGAATCCCCCTCGTCCTCACGTACCACCCCACCAACCTCCGGATCCAACGCATCATCCTCTGACACTTCCGCCATCTGCAATCCGACCCCACCACCAAAGACATCTTTCCCTCCCCACCCTTATCTGCTTTCCGGAGGGACAACTCTCTCCGTGACTCCCTTCTCCGCTCCACACTCCCCTCCAGCTCCACCACACCCGGCACTTTTCCCTGCCCCCATACCTCCTCCCTCACCCCCATCCCAGGGCCCAAGAAGACTTTCCACATCAAGGAGATGTTCACCTGCACATCTGCCAATGTGGTATACTGCATCCGCTGTACCCGGTGTGGCTTCCTCTACATCAGGGAAACCAAGTGGAGACTTGGGGACCGCTTTGCAGAACACCTACGCTCGGTTCGCAACAAACAACTGCACCTCCCAGTCGCGAACCATTTCAACTCCCCCTCCCATTCCTCAGACGACATGCCGATCCTTCCTTTTGTTTCTGTTCTGTTCTGAGGAAGGGTCACTGGACCCAAAATGTTAACTCTGTTTCTTTCTTCACAGATGCTGCTAGACCTGCTGAGCTTTTCCAGCAACTTCATTTTTGTTCCTGTTTTTCTTCCTTTGTTTCTGGTGGTTTTATTATTGCTGATCAGGCAGAGAGAAGCAAAAGAGTTACCTTACCACTCTACCTTTGCTGCCAGAACGCTCCAGTTTTGACTGGCGATATACATGAGTGACTCAAGTTGTTTTTCCCTCAATTTTGGCTTCTGTTGAATGTCACCATGCTGTTGAACAGAGATCAGAACATCGTAGGAAATCCTGGGCTCCTTATTTCAGCATGGTATAATAGAGCCCCATTACATTGTTCTCTGTAAATGAGCAAACAATGGGAAGAATGTAAAGACATTGCAAGGTGCATGAACGGATTAACTGAATTGGGAAGAAGGTGGAAAATGGTGTACAATGTGGGGAAACGTGAACTTATTCATTTTGTAGGAAGAATGGAAGAACAATGCGTTTTTATTAAATAGGGAAACTGATTAAATGTAACAGTGAAGATAGATTTCTAGTTTGCTTACTGTTTCAAATATTGTCCCTTTTAAAACCAAAGTTCATAATATTTTGATATGCCTAATACTTAATATCTTGTTCATTTTAACCTCAAATTCTACATTAAAAGAATTATTTGTGCCATGTTTGCTTACGCAGTTATCAAATAGAAACAGAAGGCATATAGATTTTCTGCAGTCGAGTAAAAGTAGTGCGGATGCTGGAGATCTGAAATAAAAATAGAGCTGGAGAAACTGAAGCACTGAACGTTAACTCTGTGTTTCTGTCTGCACAGGTGTTGCCAGATTTGCTGAGTTTCTCCAGCATTTGTTTTTATTTCAGACTTTGTGCAGTTGTGATCTGTGAGCATGTTGGTTATCATATACATGCAATACGACTTTGTGCAGGATTTTAGAATATAATTTATTTAAAAAAAGAAACCTGGATCAAGATTTTCATTTTGATTGTCAGCATTGCTAATGATGTTAGCTAGTCAGGTCAATTTGCTTGATGTAGGAGGCTGTAAGTATGATTTTCATATTCAATGTAGATTATTTAATCTGACCATTCTAATTCATAATCTATATATTTTCAGGGCAGTTGCTCCTACAGATCCAGTAAATACAAATGTACCATTTAGCCTTGTACTTCCCCGTGAACAGAGTAAGTTTCGATAATGAATCAAAGTGTCTTTAACTGAAAAACATTGCTTTTACTTTGTGAACTTTATTGTTGTGACTTGGAAATTACATGTAGGTTAAACTGTATTAGATGTACAAAGATAAGATAAAGGTTTGAATTGTCAAATGTCAATTTTTGTATGAAATTGTAAAGAAAAATATTTTTGTGGTGAATTAACTTTTCAGTTGTTTTCAGCTGTTTTCTGGTGCTCTTGTTTTTTTGTATTCAGATAGAAGTTCCACGTTGTTATTCTAGATCTGACATTTCTAATTTCCTAAACACTAATGTTGAGTTCATAATACACATGTTTTAATTTTTACCAGGAAAGGTTTTTGTGACTTATGCTACAGATAATGACAGACATGTTGAAGAGGTGATCAAGTTTGTCGCTTTGTTGATCAGGAATGGATTTGAAACCCAGGTTGGTTATGTTACTTTTCCCTCCTCCACTTGGCTCTTGTCCTTGACCTCCTGAAGTTTTGAAGGTTGACGAGACTGTTCTTATAAGCTTGATTTCCAATGAATTCTACTCCTCGTACTTTTATGGAATGGTGTAGCCAGTTTAGATTACTTGATGAGAAATTTTGGTCTACAATAAATCTCTGAGTTGGAAGCATCATTATAGTTCTGTCTCAAACGTCTATGATCTTTTATAGAGTCACCATTTAAATGTCTGGACAAAAACATTTCTGGTTACTGTTGCTACATGCATTTACCAGAGTAGGTCTTTGCTGTCATATTGCAATTTTACTTTTGACTTTGTGTTTGAAAATTTGCTAATTAACTAATACTTTGTTAACCTGGAAGTTTAAAACATTGTTAAGTCAGTCCAGTGCCAGTGGACAGAGAGTTGTAACTGATGGTTGGTACTACCCAGTACCTTTTCATTTGTATCTTTATCTAATTGGGTGTCAGACATTTAAATTAAGATTGATTTTTTTTTCCTCCAAATAATTTTTGGAATCTGCTAAAACAGACTTATTGACTGGAAAGAATTTACTTTCAAGCATTTTTTTTTTTTTTAATATTTTGGACCAATAAAAATGCTTTTGCCGAATAAAAAAATTCAGTTTGGAAGTCCTGAAACGTGGAGTTTTAAACTTCAATTCTACTTTTCAGCTTAACGTTTCATTTTTAAAATCATTAACTGTTTGAAATCGATATTCACTAGCAGAATTAACAATTTCTCAGCATTACAATTGTAAACTAATATACCAGGCATAATATGCTTTGAAGTATTTAAAGCAAAATGGCGTAATGAAGATAATTTGGTAATCAGAGTTCTGTTAAAGTATATAAGATATTTCTATCTTTGTAAAAGGATAGAAGTATCTTATATACTTGAATTGTCAGTCTCGTTTAAGTCCCAAACCCTGACTTTCATCAGAACTTTTTAACCTTTCATACATCTAATGGGGAAAGTCAACCACTCAGATTTGGGCCAAAATGTCCAATCTCTTTCTACTTACCAGCCACTCACTGCTAAAGTCTAATTTGCCTGATGCATTTGAAGGTGACTTTTTTTTTCAGCTCTCCTACCTGTGCAGCAGAATAATAGGTTTTTCCTACATTTTGTGGTTTTTTTTATGGATGGAGTTGGTGGGAACAATTTCAAGTACAGCACTCTACAATCAGCTGATGCATCTCCATAACGGATGTAGAGATGTTGAATTTCAACCCTTCAAATATTACTATGTGTTACTTGACCTGCTACTTTATGGCTTAAAAACTGGTCTGAAATTCTACATTTACATGAGTATATATGGTGTGTCATTCAACCTGTAAAACCGGAATCAGCATTCAATAATTCTTAACTGGAGTTCAACCTATATCACTTGTATTTGTCACAACTTTTAAGTAAAGTAATAGTTTCACTTGGCGGTGGGAAAAAACGGTGGTTGGATTGAGATCAAGCACATGTTTCTGGTATAACATAGTGGACTTGCTCTGCATTGGGTTGTGCAACATTTAACCTGATTTAGTGTTTTGATCCTTCTTTAAAAATAATGGAAAAATTCAACGTTGAAAATAAGGTTAGATGAAGGCCATTCAAGCCTGCTCCTGATCATCCAACACTCTACCCTATTTCTGCTTTCTCCCCAGACTTTTTGAACCCCTGCCCCCCCACCCCATCAAACTACACCCAACTCTTGAAAACATCTAATGCCCTGGCCTCAAATGCTTTCAGTGGCCAAGAATTCCACAAGTCACTGCTCTCTGAGTGAGGAATTTCTCCTCATCTCAATCCTATACGGCCTATACCATACCCTCAGACTGTGACCCTCGTTTTTGAACTCCCTGGTCATCATTTACCTTGTCTAGTCCTGTTAGAATTCCATAGGTTTCATGACACTTCCCCTTATTCTTCTAAACACCAGTGAATATAGTCACTACAGGTTGAGTCTCTTTGTACATCAGTCCTGCCATTCCAGGAATCGGTCCTGATGAAGGGTCTAGGCCTGAAACGTCGACTCTCCTACTCCTCTGCTACCTGACCTGCTGTGTTCCTCGAATCAGTCTGGTAAACCTTCCTTGTACTGCCTCCATTGTCAGAACATCTTTCCTGAAGTAAGAAGACCAAAATTGTACACAACGCTCTGGGAGTGGTCTCATCAAGGTGCTGCACAATTGTAGCAAATGTCCCAGCTCTTGAAGTCCAGGTCCTCAAAGATGGCTACTCACGACATTGAGAAAGCCAAACTATCTTAGGTGGGTCACCCAAGTTTATTCTCATTTACACATCTTGATGGCATTGTTGCCAACCTATATTCTCCTGTCGTGTTTCATAATCTTTGTCACACTACCACCTCACTATGGAGCCATTGAAATTAAGGGAATAATGAAATATAGCCAAGTATAAGAATCCAGACAATTTCCCTTTATTCCCTTAATCTCTCTGCAGTGTAACTTAACTTAATTTAGATATGCCTGTTGTGTTAACTAGCGTGCAGTTTTTTTAAAAAAATCAGAATAACAAAGCTATAATTCCAAATAAGACCATTTTGTTTCTTTTTTTAGATTGATATGTTTGAGCAGCATTTTAGAAGTATAAACAAAATCGATTGGATGGAAAGATATATCAATGATGTAAGTTAGCCTTATTAAAATTAGACTCCATATTCGAACAGTACTTCATAGTCCTCTGGAAAATAATAAGTCTCCTGCTTTTATGTATTGACTGAATTATACTAAAATTTTCAAAGCATATTAATAATGGCTTCATTTCTCATATGTACACAGAAAGGATATCTGATCATTATCGTTATCAGCCCAAAATACTGGGAGGCTGTTACATCTCAGAACTTTGACGTAAAAAATGATGAACATTCTTTGAATACAGTCTTTATCTACAAACAGGTAATTCTAATCACAGCAAATAATTTAATTTTAATGCTTTTGAATCACGAAGTTGTTCCCTAAATCTAACACACACTGAAAAGCGGATTTGAGCAATTGTATTGATTCATGGTAACTTGTCACTGGACAAGTACTTCTATCCACTTTTCCGTTCTAAAGAGTGCATGTTGTTGTGATCTCATTTTGTCTTCTTTTTTAATCTGTGATTCATTTACTATTGTTTACTGATATCTCTGCCAACTGACTCATTTACTTGCCTCCCTATAAAGAGATTTAAGTCGTCCTTTGTTATCCTGATTCTACCTTAAGAACGTAGAAGAATAGAAGCATATCATTGGGCATCTCAAAGCTGTTTCAGCATTCAGCAAGATCATGCTTGACCTGTCCCTGAGGCAAAAAAGGGACAAGGTGCAAAACATCCCTATGTCTGTTTTGCACATACGTTTGTTACTAATCACACACTGTTGTCTCTGGGATTTTGTTGGGCACAGTTTGCTCAGCAAATAAAATCTTGAAGTGCTTTCAATCATTCTTGCAGAAGAACAATCAGATTTCATCTTGATTTCACAGCAAAGGTTTTTCTGAAACAGGAGACAGGAACTGAGCAGGTCATTATGTAGTAGGCTTTCCTAAATTGAAGATCCAAACAGAAAACTAAGCGTGCCATCACTGTTCAAACAGAAATGATGGGGAACAGTGTCCTTTTCATTGATCCTTTCCCAAAAAAAATCTAGGTATCTCCCCAATCCTTCAAACTCAGTCTACAAAAATGATTAAAAATGAAGTGTCTTCACAACACTAGAGACACTGATCTCCATTTTGTCATTCACACCATAGCCCAGCTTCTCAGCCTCAGCATTTTCTTAGGAGCAAATGCAAGCAAACATCAGGAATTAAGTTTGAAACTTGGGTTGCTGTAAAGAAAATTGAGACAAACGTTCTAAATTTGCTGTTAGGTCATCTCTAGCTGATGTTAGCTAATTCCTTGGAAAAGAGGATAAACTTCCTTATTCTTTGCGGAATAGTCCCTTACAATTTAGGAAATGTTCTAAGATTTCAAATGAAACCTTTTCACTCATTCCTGATTCTAGTTTCATTTTTCTTTTCAAATTTAGATATTCTTGACTTGTTTGCTTTACACATTTTGAAAACTCAGTTTAACTCTTTTAATGTTGTGAGGAATATACATTTCTGAAATGTTCTTAAAAATGCAGGGACTTTGGGCTGTTTCATAAGCTTCTACTTTGTCACTTTGTTGCAGCTTCAAAATGAATTTATTCAGAATGGCAGCAAGAACTTCAGATTTGTTCCAATTATTTTCCCGGGAGCTAACATGGTAAGTATGAGATAGGTGGAAAGTGTCCAAGTTGGACAGGTTACATCTGAACATGGAGATTTGCTAATGCTGTTGGGAAGGATTTAAACTAGTCTGGTCAGAGAATGGGATCCTGACAATCATTCAGAGGAGAGTGGCTACGAATTAGATGTTAAAATGCAAAGAGTCTATAAAGTAAGAGGAAACATGGGCTCGATTTAAGAAAGAAGTGAGTTTAGTAAGGCTGAATCAAACATATTTTAGTGTACCAGGCCTGAGGAATAAAGTAAAAGAATCAATTCTAGCAGTGAGGAGGGATTGTCAAATGAGACCGTGTATAGCAGTAAAGAACATAAAGGGGAATGCCTACAGGCGGCTATGTGCTAAAGGCGACGAAACAGTCAGGAAAAGATTGTTGCATTTCTTTGAAATTTGATCCTATGATGAGGCAGCAATCGTAGGGGATTTTAATTACCCAACTATTAACTAGGATAACTTTAGTGTGCAAGGAGGAGAGGGAACAAAACTTGTAAATTGAATTCAGTAGAGCTTTTAAGCCAGTAGCAAGAAAGCTCAACAAGAAGATAACAAGGTGTAGAGCTGGATGAACACAGCAGGCCGAGCAGGAAGGCTGATGTTTCGGGCCTAGACCCGTCATCAGAAATGGGGGAGGGGAAGGGAGTTCTGAAATAAATAGGGAGAGAGGGGGAGGCGGATAGAAGATGGATAGAGGAGAAGATAGGTGGAGAGGAAACAGACAGGTCAAAGAGGCGGGGATGGAGCCAGTAAAGGTGAGTGTAGGTGGGGAGGTAGGGAGGAGATAGGTCAGTCCAGGGAGGACGGACAGGTCAAGGGGGTGGGATGAGGTTAGTAGGTAGGAGATGGGGGTGCGGCTTGAGGTGGGAGGAGGGGATAGGTGGGAGGAAGGACAGGTTAGGGAGGCGGGGACGAGCTGGGCTGGTTTGGGGATGCGGTAGGGGGAGGGGAGATTTTTGAAGCTTGTGAAATCCACATTGATACCATTGGGCTGCAGGGTTCCCAAGTGGAATATGAGTTGCTGTTCCTGCAACCTTCGGGTGGCATCGTTGTGGCACTGCAGGAGGCCCAGGATGGACATGTCGTCTGAGGAATGGGAGGGGAAGTTGAAATGGTTCGCAACTGGAAGGTGCAGTTGTTTATTACGAACCGAGCGTAGGTGTTCTGCAAAGCGGTCCCCAAGCCTCCGCTTGGTTTCCCCGATGTAGAGGAGGCCACAACGGGTACAACGGATGCA